ATTAATTCAAAGTGAGTTATAGGAAATTATATGTATATTTTTTTCGGCGAGTACTTAAATCTAAGTATTCAAATCTTAATAACGGGAAACCGATGCATTATATGACATAATATACTTCCTGAACACTTTTTAAAGTCCTTGGAAATACCTTTATAATGAGCACTGTAAAAAGTTAAAAGTATCAAAATTGAGCAAGTAATGATAAAAATAAGATGACACTCGATTTTTTTGGAAAAAACCAAAAATAAAACCTTTACCATTTCCACTAAAAATCAAATTAATCGTTATACGTATTCGGGATTTCGGAGTTTCAACCGAGGTCAGAAATGAGGATTTACTCTTTAAATTGTTGTCGAGCATATCGCCGAGATGCCTGTATAAGATATTGATCATATTTTTTTTTTCTTCAAGATGCATAGCACCGACTCTTAATGTTAATTTGACTTTAAATGTAGTTTGGATATAAGTAAGGAATTGTGTTATTATTGGTGCCAATTCTGGCGTGATTCTCTAAACTTAAAAGTTAATTTAACATCAGTCTCTCCTTTTCATTCTGTATAGAGAATGACAAGGATATACTGCTGTCAAATTTAAGTTTAGGTTTAGAGAATCATGCTAGAATCGACACCACTATCTTACTTATTTTGGTTTTATTTTTATGAAGTTGGTTTTATTTTTGTTATGGTAATTAATTATAGTTCTGTTATGGTAAATTCAATCAAAGTTGCACAAGCTTGTGTTTACCTCATAAAGAAATCGTACCTACGGCTTAAGACACTGATATTTTAGTCCCTCCCTACACCTAAAATTCGTTCAAAACAAGCACTATTTTTTGTCGTTTTACATGCAAATATTGCTGGGGTGATTGACAGCAGGCCATTGAAATTTGTTATTTGTATTTTTTTTAAACACACCAATTAGCCAAGCCCCAATGTAAGCACTGTAAGGCTTGTGTTATGGGATGCTAGGGTAACTGATAGAATACATATACTGTACATACATAAGTATATTTATATAGAAATAGATATTAAACATCCATAACTGGAGTACTATATTTTTAGTACATCACAAAAAATGCTGGATTTCAAACCCGCGTTACGTTGAACCTGTCCAGATTCCGGTTCTGGAAGCCTTTGGTACCATATGTAATGATAAATGAGTTGTGTTACTTTTTTGTATGGCTCGCCTGTTGGTAAGCGGCCATCATAGCTTAAAGACGATTGCGTTACCAATAATATCACTCGCACCGTTGCCTACCCTACTTTGTGGAGTCCTGGCACCTTACTCTCCGACAGAAACACAACGCTACCAAGAGGTAGTGTTATTTTACTGTGATCTTCTGTGGAGGAGCTCGATGGCGCAAGCTTGAGGTCCCTCTAGGCTGCGATCGTTGAAGTTAAGCAACTTTCGCAGTGGTCGGTCATTGAATGGGTGACCAAAAATTTACTATCTCGAGCTCCTCCGTGCTTCGGAAGGCACGTTAAGCCGTTGGTCCCGGCTGCATCTGCAGTCGTTAGCACCCACCAATCCGCACTGGGCCCGCGTGGTGGGTCATGGCCCAATCTCCCTATTCCATCCATAGGGAAGGCCTGTGCCCCAGCAGTGGGGACATTAATAGGCTGATCATGATGATGATGATGATGATCTTCTGTGAGGACGAGCGACAAGACGGGCGCTCCAATTTGCGCGGGATATGGGAGATCTCAAACTTTATAATAAGGAGGATTAATTAAACCACACGCAAACCTAGCGCGCCGAATGGACGTTGAGTTCAGCAAAGACACTTTGGCCCTATTCTCTCTTCTTAAGAATGGTGTCGACCATACTTAAGGAAGCAAAGATCAAATCTTTGCTTGAGCGTAGTTTTTGAAGTACATTTCCTTCTGAAATAAGCAATTACTCAGCTGAGTTTTGATCAATGTTTATGTTTCAGAGAACGTTCTAAAATGAAATCTCATTTTGAAATAACTTTTAAAACTAAATTTCTTGCTGAGAAAGGTCCGAGTCTCAGAGACGTCCTCTAGTTGATCCGACCCAACTCAACTCAGGTTCGAGTGGTCTAGAGGCTTCAGACAGAGACTCCCCCCGAGATGCCATCCGCCTGGAATACCTCTAGAAGCACTCGCCAATTCTCGGCTTGAGGTCCCTCTAGGCTCTTGTCATCCCCTAACCCGGTGCCGCTGTAAAGGTAACCTGCGACCAACAGCATACACACAAAAAAAATTGAGTGTGCTTATGACCACACGACTGATGTGAAACTGCTTTAGCTCTTTATAATATATATGTATGTGTGTACAATATATATCTGTATGTACATATTCATATTTCATTTACTAGCTATAAGAGAAAGAGGGAAAGAAAATGTGCGCGCGCACTGCTTTCTCTTGCTTATATCCCCCACTCAACGCCCGTTCTTCTCGCCCAGACACACTTCTCGTAACGCATTCGCCAGCTTACCCCCAAGTCAAGCGTGCGTAAAGAAGTTTCACTTCAAAAAAATCGTAGTGGTGGGTGATGAAGAAAAATTCGTTGACGTTGCGATTATTATCAATACTAGCATTGTTATCTCTGTAAGAAACGTCATATTGTCCGATTACTTACGCGCCATTCATTGACCTTGATTTGATACACGATCAAAGTAAACAAGTAGTGGTTAAAGACTCGCAAACTATATTATGGTGTCACGGTTAATTACATAGGGTTGTGCACTTAAACACTTTGGTATAAACAAAAGCACTCAATTTAATATACCTAAACAATAAAGATTTTTGTTCCTTTTTTTAACCCCTAAAAGGATAGGGATGATTACGGGGTAAAGTAAAGGAAATTCTTTAGTTATTTTAATTATATTAGTTCATTAACTAACTGATGAACTAAATTTAATAATATTAAATTTAGTTCATCAGTTACATTATCAAAAAATAATGGACACTTTTTTTTTGTCAATCCACCAAAAAAATACAAAGATATCCCGTCAAAGTTTGGGAGTGGGGGTCTCGTGACGTCACTTCTAAGCAAAAAATGTGCAACAATGTGACATTTCAAATCAATATATCTCTGATGCTAAAACTAAACTAACTGATGTTAAATTTAGCTTTAGCTTTAGAGAATCATGCCAGAATCGACACCAGTGTTTGGATTATGTGGATAAAGAAAAAAACCGGCCAAGTGCGAGTCGGACTCGGGCACGAAGGTTTCCTTACCAAAAACGGCAATAAATCACGTCTGTTGTATGACCCCCCTAAATTATTTATTTTGTATTAATTTAATTATTTATCTTTAAAGTGAATATACAACTTAATATTCTGTGAATATTTCAAGTATCTACCAGTTGCCGTTATTAATCAGAGGTTCAGGTGCGTTATGCTTATGACCTTTAATCACCAGTAACAGTGGCGTGTGGCAGCCCTGGTTGTGTACAATGTGTCTGTGTTTATTATTCGCGCGGTGCAGCTGATAAGGTATTTTTAGGCACGTGTAAAGAAAACTATTCCTTACGGGCATTTGTATGCACGACAAGTTTAGAAACATCATGGGTAATAAGCTTAACCCGAAAAAGACACTAGTGTATGTGTTCACCGGCAGAAATCCCCGTTGGTAGTAGCCAACGATATGTATTGTCTATAGCAGCACTTTATTTCCAAGAAACTCCCCTCTACGTCTCTACAAACATCGGAGTTCTAGGAGACAATATTACGAATGAAGTGCAATTCTGAGATAGGGATGTCGAAAGTTGAAAAAAATATCGATATATCGATACATCGATCTTTTAAAAAATATCAATATCGGCTTCGATATATCGCGAAAAAACATCGATATATCGGACCAATTTTCCTAAAAATATCGTACAGTAGCTCACGAAATATGACACGCGGAATAATAATGGAACGAAAAATATCTCCCTAAAAATAGACCCTATTTTCGAATGATGACATAGACAATACTAAATACAGCACAGATCATAGATATGTTGAATATCATTAATCTGAGATCCAGTTACGATTTTTCCAGATACGAATTTAGTTAGATCGTGATATGCCGCTAATAATTAAAAAAATATCGTTTTTGATACGAATTTCGATTTTGGTTATTTTGTATCGATGTATCGATATATCGAATCAAAATATATCGGCAAAAAATATCGATATATCCATACATCGATATATTTTCAACAAGCCTATTCTGAGATTATTATAAAAAACCGAACGTCTATTATGCACTTCAATACTGTAAAAGTTTCCACTGCAATATTATGAGGTGACTATTTTTGGTTTCTTTGTTCAGTACCCAAACCGTGATAACGAAATCCTGTAAGCAAAGACTTTTTAACATGCTTTTATTAGGTCCACTTGTATGTGACGCGGAGAATCCCTAAACGGGGATCCCGCGGCTTCGCGCTAAGCAGCTTAGAGGGTATTCGCAGGACTTTTTTAGCGGATATTATACCGTAAAGCGCCCGTAAGAGTTGCGGGGTCCTCGGTGGGCAGCCACTGGGGGGTTCGTAAGACTTGCGGGAGCCAGGTGTGAGGTCCGTTCGGCGGTGTGCCTCTTAAAGGCGCCGTCGTCTGTAAATAGATTTTTTACCTGCGTATTAAAAAAAAAAAAAAGGTCCACTTGTATGTAATGAAATCTAAGAATCTGAATTCAACGCACTTCTAATTCTTGTATCATCACGAAAATTGGCAATTATATGTAGATTAGGTGACAATACAATATTATGGTACCATCGAGCTGGTCTGATGATGGGGCTGGAAGGTGGCTGATGGAACCTTGGACTGCCTTATAGTAATCATATCGAGTTTGGGCTCATTAGATTCGTCTTAACATATTCTATTCATTTTTCCTGATGACGAGGACCTGATGATGCACTGGAAGGTGGCTGATGCACCCTGGGTTGCCTACTAGTAAACAAATCGAGTTTGGGCTCATGAGATTCGTCTTAATTATTATTAAATTTATGTGACAATATTTTTTTTTAATTCTCAATTTTTCTTTTTCAGGGATGCATTTCTCGCAAGCAGTGGCCATAATTCAGAGTCAAGTGGGCACAATCAGAGGAGTACAAGTGCTATATAGTGATCAGGTGAGTTAATTTCTGAGATTGTATTAAAGCTATTAAACAATTGTCTTAAGATTTTAATGTGGCATTTACAGGCTGGTTGTGATTTGGTAAAAGTTCACATCACAAGCCCTAGCCATAGGTCAACACCGAAAGGGAGTTGCCATAAGCGAAGTTATAATTTACGAATTATCCTGTAATTTGCGCAAAATTCTAACATAAAAATGCAGTTTTGTATTGTGAAAGTCCAAAGAGGTCCAACGTTATGGTTACATTCCACTGGCAAAAATGAGAAAAGTCAAATATTGTTGGGAAAAGTTTAAAAACGCCCTTGTTTGTAACTCTTCTACCGTAGTAAGTCCCGCTTTCTCGCAGTGGTTTTAATGAAAATGGTGGTAATCCTCTTTACTTTTCTTACTATTATAGTGGTGTCGATTCCGGCATCAAGATTCTCTAAACCTTTACTTAAATTTGACAACAGTGTATCCTTATCATTCTCTATAAAGAATGAAAAGGAGTGACTGATGATAAACTTAGCTGTAAGTTTAGAAAATCATGCCAGAATCGACACCGATATATCTTTACCATGCTTGTTTTAAAGTGAAACTTTTATTACTTAATCACACATTTTTCGTTTTTTTTAGTATGTCGCATTACATTTTTGATAGTTAAAAATAAAACAGATCTTATCAACAAGCATTGGTGGTTCAGTGGTAGAAAGCTCGCCTGTTACGCCAGCGGCCTGGGTTTTTTTTTCTTTTATAGCCAGGTAGGCAAATAACTCTACCCCACCTGATGTTATGTGGTAATAAAGTCCAAACGCGAAGATAGCTGGTGCAGCAGTTATAAACTGCTACATCAACCATCCTCACCTTGTCGGCCTGCAAAAATGTTTTTTCACGCCTCTCTTAAAGGACCCCAGATTGTAGGAAGGAGGGAACACGTGCACGGGCAAAGAAGGGTTCGATTCCCAGACAAGAAAGGACTTTTTTTATTAATGATTTTTAAATAGTTTCATTTGCATATTGATTTCATAAAGCCACATCGTCTGTTTTTGGCCGTTCGGCACTTCCTGAGTGCTAGAAAAAGGTCAGACTAAGATTTGTCGATGATGATATGTGTACGCTTTGATTTCAGAACCCGTTATCCGTGGACCTAGTTATAAACATGCCCCAAGACGGCGTCCGGTTAATATTCGACCCGGTCGCGCAGCGGCTCAAGATAATAGAGATATACAACATGAAACTAGTTAAGCTTAGGTATTGGTGAGTACTCCAGAGCAATCTTTGTTTTCTTTACTTTTAACGTTAGATGGTTTGTGTGAAGTTCAATGAACCATTTGCGCAACTGTACACGTTTTTTTTAAATAGAGGGTTTAACTTTAAAATCATTTGGGTGTGTTCGGCGTCCGAACATGAATTTAGCATAACCTTGTTTGCTGGAACATATTCTGTCCACTTTAACAATGTAATTTTAAATTAAATCCCATAATGAATATACCTAAAGGAAAATTCTCCAGTTATTTTCATTTTCACACCTTTCACACAGACTAAACGAACGTTTAGAAGTGATCGCGTTCCCGTCGTAGATTGCAGCCGTACAAAGGTCGAAGCAATTAGTAAATCTCCGCTAGTTCATCAGATGAACGTGTTAAAGCGCAGCGGAATCCTACATTGTACCGTTAACGAGTATGTAATTAAAGCAGAACCACTGAATCGCTACTCGAGACAAACAAAAGACCATTATTATGTATGATGAGTCATAAACGATAATCGTCTTTTGTTTGTAGTAATACGCTGCTGTGGAGATAACATTTTTGATTAATTAAAAGGGGTTTGAGTGAGGTCAAAACATTGCTTGTACTTGATACTAGCGCCCGCCCGCGACTTCGTACGCGTGGAGTTAGTTAGAAATAAAGGTTCATTGCTCGTTCCCCGTAGGTGATAGCGTGATAATATGTAGCCTATATGTTGACCCGACATCTTAATTATATTCGAGCCAAATTTGAACTAAATCCATGCAGTACTTTTTGAGTTAATCCCGGACATACATACAGGCAAACAGACAAAAATTCTAAAATACTATATTTTTGGCTTCGGTATCGATTTCAGATCACACCCCAAGTATTCTTTTAAAAAAATATTCAATGTACAGTTTTGACTTTCCTACTATTTTATTATATGTGTAGATCATGTAGAAAGAAAAAGGAAAAACATGATTGATATTATTATATGAATTTTATGACAAAAGCACAGTTAGCGAAAATACTGTCATTTACCCTGTAGAAACTACTATACAGAATACCTAGCCCTGAACTAACTTTGAGTTACTTCACTGTCTTCATCTTCAAATGAAAATGATCAAGGAGCAGTCCAGACCAGAGCCTAAAGCGAGAGAGGAAGCATGTTGGCTACTCTCTTTCTGCGAAACGTTGTTTCGGTAACGAAGTTCAAACGAAATTTCATTTCGTCAATTTGAGACTATACTTAATTTGAACTCTCATTCTCAAAAACTCAAATTCAATTGTTCGTTGAATAGGCTTAGAGAATCTAAACCTTAATTTATTTTGGGACGAACAATATTGTTATAATTAGAAACGATTAAAAAACGTGCGAGGTTTCGGCCGAAATTTCATTTCGCGTTGAATTCGATTACGTTTCCAGGTGTGAAATCCCTAGGGATACCCTACGTCAGCCACGGGGCTGCCTGCGTCCTCGCAGGTATGTTCCCGTGGGAAGTTGATGCCCTGGTTCTGTCCCAAGTGCATCAACACAGGGCCGCGGCGAGAATGCGGGGCGAGCGGCCTGTTCTGGAGGAGGTAGAACGGGTCCGCACCGAGGCGCAGAGGGAAGCTTTGCGCCGATGGGGCGAGGCACTCGCCAACCCAGCCGCTGGCCACCGGACGATCGAGGCGATTCGTCCGGTGTTGGAGGAGTTTGTAGGGCGCCAGCGGGGCAGCCTCACCTTCCCCCTGGTGCAGGTACTGACCGGACATGGGTGCTTCGGTCACTACCTGCAACGTGTCGCCCGTCGGGAGGAGTCGCCGCGGTGTCATCACTGCGCCTCCCCAGACGTCACGGCCGACCACACGCTAATCGTGTGCCCGGCCTGGCGAAACGAGCGCAGAGACCTCTTGTTGCCAAGCATGGTTAGAGTCATGCTTGGCAGCGAGAGGGCCTGGAAGGCTGCCGCCTCCTTCTGCGAATCGGTGATGACACAGAAGGAGGCTGCGGAGAGGGAGCGGGAGGAGGATGCTCTTGCCCCTCCGCTCCGACGTAGACGGGTAGGCCAAAGAAGGCAGGCAGCCGTGATTGCCGGTCTTAGACAGCAAAAAAAAAAACATAGTGTTAGTTACATTTGATTTACTAATAAATATGTTAGTACAATGAGAGGGCTTACATTGAGGGCTTTGAAAGCTTTATCGGGAGCGATTGATTCCTGAGAAGGGGGTGATGCACAGATCTGTGATGAGCTATGAAATTCCGTTAGCGTCATGTAGGCTTTTCGTACTCATTATCGATTTTATGGGCATCTTTGCTCAGCCAGTAACGCCATCTGTTGATTCGGAGTGTCTTTGCTTCAATTTTAATTAAGGCTTTCCGATGTGCTCCGTTTACCCTACATGTTAGCTCTCAGTATGTAACTCCTGTTTAGTTCTTTCAACGTATTTTGTAGATATCTTTGAAACTTTCGCGTTGCATTATAAATATTGGGCGACTGAGTCCCCCCGTGACTTCAATAGCCCCGTGACCACGACGGGTGTAATCTGGTTAAAACGTCGGGATAAAGAAGTTCAAAAAACCTTTAATAAAGTGCGCGTTTAAACCCGTTGCATGTTATATTTATAATATGTATCTTTATTTTCCGTTAGTATTTTATCTGCCAGGGCCGCGAGGTCGCCGTATCTCCATAGAAACGGTGGTGGCGTGATTGTACTTAACTTAGGTCTAATTGGAAAATGATTATTCTTTGTGCATAAATAAGTGTATCACATTATGTACTGGAAATTATTTTGCGTAAATGACATCAGAGGACCTCGATAGCGCTAGTGATTAGCGTGTTCGGCTTGCGATCGTGAAAATAAAGCAACTTGTCTAATGACTGGTAATCAGATGGGTGATCAAAGACTTATTATCTACAGCTTCTTCGTGTTTCGGAAGGTACGTTAAGTCGTTGGTCCTTCCCGGCTGCGTCTACAGTCGTTAGGACTCACCAATCCGCACTGGGCCCGCGTGGTGGGTCATGGCCCAATCTCCCTGTTCGATCCTGCATTAGGGATATTAATAGGCTGATGATGATGAAATGGCCTTTAACTTTGATCCTATTTGCCTTCTATAAAGAAGTGCTTCTATTGAATCTAAGGACAGGTCACGGAATGATTTTTTTAAATAGATAGGAGTGACATCTTATATGAATTTGTTATCCTAGATATTACTAGGTAACTTTAAAAACGAGGAAAACATATTTTTAACGTAACCTCATAAGGTTGGTAAACAAGCAGTTGTTATTATGATGACCTCATATTATCGTAAAAGATACAATGCTGCTGCAACATCTGCGAATTAATGCATTTTTTTGCAGTATGGTATACAGATAATCTTATTATTTAAACTTTATCAATAATGGGTATGCTAATGGTACCCTGAACGGGTACCTCGTTTTGTTTCATTTCATAGTTGAAATGAAACAAAACGAGATAATTATAAATTTCTGCTACCAGTGGGCCAATCGCCTAACTGGATTGCTTTGGAAAACGCTATCGCTTACGATTTCATTTTGTTATTTCTAACCGCCGAAATACCTCACGCTCATTTTCTTTAACATTGTTATTACCAATGCAAAAGAAAAAAAAAGAGCGCGAGGCATTTGAAAACCTCAGGGGGCTAGAAATAACAAAATGAAATCGTAAGCGATAGCGTTTTCCAAAGCAATCCAGTTAGGCGATTGGCCCCCAGGCCACTCGGAATGTTTTGCGAAATAAAGTTTTTATGTATTAAAACTGGTGGCCGGCACTGGCCACTTGTAATTATTTTGGAAACTTCGATTATTTAAAAGTAAAATACCACTGTTTGATTTTCAAATTTCCCTCCGGATATTTTCGAGAGCCAATTAAAGTTTTCTTGTCTTATTAAAAAATGTATCTGCACCGAGAACATTTTCGTGCTATGATTTTTTACGATTTTAAATGTGGCTTAAAACCTGATGAGTGATTTGATCGATTTCGAACTATTTTTATGGATGAAAGACCTTCAAAACCATCTACCGCTGGTGATCTGATCCTTTTATCGGGCGTCTTTAGTTTTGGTCTAATAGGATAAACATTTGTATTTTTTGTTCTTACTACTTTCTGTGTACTTACCACCGATATTAATCACTAGTTTTTTCAAATTTAGTAACATGATACTGAAGTAAAATCATCGCATTTCATTTTATTCATTCATTTCATGAATTCAACAACATTAATTGAAAGTTGCCACAGGAAACTTTTATCCATAATAATTTGAAGCGTTGTTAATAAAGTCGGTTATCCTTCGCAGTCGTTTACACTTCATTTATATTTGATAATGACATTTAAAGCGTTGATAATAAGTTCGACAATCCTTTGTAGTAGGATGTGCTTCAACTCGATGGCGATAACGCCATCTATCGAGCAAATGGAGCACTGCTTCGGCGCGAATCATCACGGCATCCATCACCATTAATTATTATTCAACCCTGTCGCAGAAAACACCTAATCATTTGTAAATCTTAACAGTTTTATGTTTCAAAGTATACATTTAAAGCGTTGAAAATAAGATCAATAATCCTTCGCAGCGACATGTAGGAGATAACACCATTTATTGAGCAAGCGGAGCACTGCTTCGGCGTGACTTATCCCGGCATCAAAAATTATTAATCAAACTTTTCCACAGAAAACACCTTGCTATAGTATTCATAATAAGGTTGAAAATCCTTTGCAGTGGAATGTGCTTCAACTCGCCGGAGATAACGCCATCTATCGAGCAAGTGGAGCACTGCTTCGGCGTGACTTATCCCGGCATCAAAAATTATTAATCGAACTTTTCCACAGAAGACATCTTGCTATAACAGTGATAATAAGGCCGAAAATCCTTTCCAGTGGCATGTGCTTCAACTCGCCGGAGATAACGCCATCTATCGAGCAAGTGGAGCACTGCTTCGGCGCGACACACCCCGGCTTATACGACTCGCAGCGCCATCTGTTCGCGCTCAACTTCCGCGGGTTGAGCTTCTACTTCCCTGTTGATAGTAAATTTGAGGTAAACTTGCAGTTTATATAAAAATAAATGAATATTTATAGCACTCACATGAATTAGTCGGATTTTTCTTCATTTGAGTCAATCTCGCATTTCTGTATGTAATAAAATACGGAAAAAACATCAGCTCTAGTTTATTTTTTGCCGGTTTATCTCAATCTAGAAATCCGTTAATCGTAGATTATTAATGAAACGAAGGCATAGCTTTAGCGACCTGAAATATTACACACCAGGGGGTATTATGTTATGAATAAAACATACTAAGGATTAAAATCAACAGTTTATAGTTGTGACCTCGAAGGCTCGAATATAGTGTGATTCAAACTGAATGGCGGCTGTGAAGTTAGCGCAAGTCACGGCGCAATAAACGAAATGTAGAGTTAGGCGTCTTTCTCACCGGATCGTTTCGTTTTCGTTTCTATACCGAAACTGTAATACTTATTCATGATATATGTGGGGATGCCACATAGGCACAAGTTTGTAAATACCAATCCCGCACGAATGTCGTATAAAGTTTTTCAACACATTTGCGAGAAAACAGTATCTATACCTAATTTAAGTGATGAAGCAAACTTTTTCTAATAAGAAAATGGCGTGCATTTCCAAATGTGGTGAAAATTAGAACAACATCTTTGGTCTCTTTTTTTTAGTATTAAAGTGAGTCAAAGGTATGGTAAAATGTTTTACCGCACGCTCCGTTATATATCCCTAAATTTTGAACTTTCGGACAATGTATACAACCTCCGTAAATCCATTGTTTGAGCAAATGTGTTGGAAAGATTCTTTACCGAGTACCACTTCTTGACCGGCTCGGTTTCGTTTCGTTTTGTTTGCTACGGTGTTTGTCCTTTGTTAAAGAACCGCCACGTCGGTTGGTAGCGCAAGTGGAGTGGTAGGAATCAGTATGGAAGCTCTTACTTGATTACATGCACTCGGTAAAGAATTTGTACAGATTACTATCGATTTATTAGTACAGAAGCGAAGACAAAACGATACCGCACCGATCCGGTGGGAAAGGCGCCTTATGTGGGTGCGCTCGGAATGTTATTGAAAAACCTGCTCATTGTTGCGCTTGCTACTAACTTCACAACCGTCATAAAGTTTTATTTTGCACTTTACTAGGTTTAACATTTAACTAGAAACCTTTCCATTGGATCGAGGCATCAAGTAGACCGACCGAGTAGAATTTGATCTAGGATTTTTTTTTAGATTTATATTTAATAATATGTATAAAACATAAATATACAAAATTCAACACTAGCTCTATAAATAAATGTTTTTCAGCCCGGCTACGCGCACGGGTTGGGTTCACTACAGTTCCCCAACGGGGCTTCCCCGGTCGTCTCTCGGACCACCATTTACTACGGATCTCAACACCAGGTAACGGAAATTAAGGTACGCTTCTTTTTGTTTACCTGTTCTTTTGCATTTATAAATTTATAATTTTAATTACAATTGGACCACGATAAGTCTGCAGTGGACTGTCAGTAGCAAAAATTAAAACTTTGCTCATGGCAGTACTGGTTACTGTCAAATTAACTACCCTTGATACTTTATTATTTACCGACTTAGAAAAGTGTAGGTGTCTTAATTTTTTATTTGTATATTGTTGTTCGTATATTTATGGGCCGATTTCGATGATTCAGTTTTAGGGTTCCGTATTCAAAGGGTAAAAACGGAGCCCTATTGCTGACATTCTGTGGTCTGTCTGTCTATCCGTATGCCACGGTTCTCTAGTTCGTAAACGGAATTAGTTACAGAACTGATATTTGGACATTTTATGTGAAATGCTTACCCAATTCTGAATTTTTAGTATTTTTATAATTTTTTTAATTCAATTTTATTATTTTTAATGGCCGGGTTTCATATACGTGATACATCATTGTCTGGAGCTCGTTGAGTAGCATGAGTAGCGTTGAGTACTATATATACCTACACAAATAAATATATTATGCAACTAGCGGCCCGCCCTCGCTTCGCTTCGGTGTAGAGCTGAAGTGTACACTATAGGTTTTTTTCTCAGGCTTGTATTAACACAATGACATTCATCTATGATTCTTACTGGAAACTTCCAGTAAATTTTCTTCGGTACCTACATTACATTAAATTTTGGCAGTCTTAATTGAAAAAAAATATGATAATTTGCATTAATTACCTCTTTAAACAGGGTAACACAGGCTCAGGCACTTGTGCGGCACCGTTGCCCGAATTGCCTTTATCTTGCTACCGGCAACAGTTACATCTGCGACGATGTGATGTACTCCGAGCACCGCACGCTACTAGGGGCGTGAGATTGCATCTGTTTACGGAAGGTGAGTTCCATCATCATCATCTTATCATCAGCAGTTTATTTGTTTCTAGCGGCAACTTGCGACGGATATACATACAGGCAAACAGACAAAAATTCTGAAAACTATATTTTTGGCTTCGGTATCGATTGTAGATCACACCCCAAGTATTCTTTTAAAAAAATATATTTAATGTACAGTTTTGACTTTCCTACCATTTTATTATATGCATAGATAATTCTTCGGCGACAGTTGTGAATAAAAATAGTTTTATCATTTTTAGGTCGATTTCTAGCATTAATATTGAGATTAGAACCTTGTTTAAACGTTGTCAAGGCACAAGTCGGAAAGTAAGACGTAATAAGAGTACGATCGTTATTAAGTCAACATGTTGACTTAACGTAGAGACCCATCGCGCATGCATTTATGTTGATTTCACAAACTGATTTAGACATGGTTCAGACGTAATAAATGTTTTCCGATCATTATTAGGCCGAATGATTTCATCCATGTTGATTTGACAATCTTGTTTGTTCTTTTGTGTTTACAAACTGTTTTGAAATGCGTTTAAAGTGTAATAAAATTCTTCCGATCATTATTAGGCCTACATTTTTTTTATTATAGCGAGCTAGGCAAATGACTCTTCCCCAACTGATGTTAAGTGATGATAAAGTCCAAACGCGAAGATAGCTGGTGCAGCAGTAATAAACTGCTACACCAACCATCCTCACCTTGCCGGCCAGCAAAAATGCTTCTTCACGCCTCTCTTAAAGAAGGACCTCAGATTGTAGGAAGGAGGGAACACGTGCGCGGGAAAAGAATTCCACTTACGAATAGTACGACAAAGAATTGAATCACCAAATTGCTTTGTTCGTGTAGGAATAGTGGTCACATTAAGTCGGTAAAGTGCATCATGCATACAGGGTGACCTCTGACTAACTTGTTAATACGCTGTTAAGGCACAAGCCGGGCCCTAGAGCCGGTGCAGGTGTCGTTGAGCCGCGTGATCCGCTTCGGCGACAGTTGTCAGCGAGTGGCGCGAGCACTCGGCGCGCCCGCCAGACTCTACTACAAGGCGGACGATAAAATGCGCATACATAGACCCACTGCCCGTCGCCGTCCCCCGCCCGCTTCGGATTATTTCTACAACTACTATACCTTGGGCTTGGTGAGTATTCACTACGACTACTACACACACTCACACCCATCGTCTCCACCTAGAAATAAATAAGTCATATACAGTGGAATTTCGGTAACTCGAATGTCAAGGGAAATGAAAAAAAAAACGTGTTATCGAGTTTTCGACTAAACAAGAACTTCGAGATACATATGACTTAACTGCTGAAATTTCGACTTACAGAGGCGCGATTTCTATGTGTCTAATTTTTCGATTTGTAGAGTCGAATTTGAATAACAATTCAACTTATGTTTTATGTATATTTTTTTACATATTAAAACAACTTACATATTAATGAAGTAAACTGTACACTAAAAAAATCCGTTATCTTCTTTTGATTTAAACAATTTGCAGATTTTTTATCTATTATTTTTACAAGCTCAAACTATGAAACGAATACATGATCCTTGATATCATAACATCTTTCAACATAAGTTCGAATTATGTTGTGAGCTGTACAGTTGTCAATGAAAAGTAATATTTTTCGTTTCTCCTTGATCATTTTCTTGTCAAATAATAATGCCAAAATAATACTGACGGACAAGCTCCGCTAAAAGTAATCGTGTCCTGTGTCGACAAGAAACAAACATAACGTTCACAGCTGTGTTACTTAGAAAGTTTCATGAATGTATTAATTCATTGCACGTGTACAAGACAAAAACAATAGATTAGAAGCCCCGAACCCGAACTTTCAATTTGGATTATATTGCTATTATTTCGGAAAATTGCAAGACGTCATTATATTTCACTAACTACGACTTACGGAGTCTCCTTTTTGAAATTCGAGTTATAGAGTATAAATAATTAATATGTAAAATCATAAATCCAAGTATATTTTTTATAATGGTATATCTGTTTTCACTATGTTACATAAAACCGTTTCGCTATGCAGGACATATTATTCGACGCTAGGACGCACCAGGTGAAGAAGTTTGTTCTGCACACCAACTACCCGGGCCACTACAACTTCAACATGTACCACCGATGCGAGTTCGAATTGGCCGTACAGCCTGATAAGTGAGTCGGAATTTACTACATTTCCTTCCTTTTGTCGTTTTGTTTCAACTTTTATTTCCCATACCATTTTATATTTTTATTCACATTATTGATTAGCATTTGCATTGTTTTTTGTTCTATCCAAACGTGAAATCCTGAGTGTGAGTTGCAATAACTTTAACTTATATTTTTTAATTTTTAAGCATTTAATCGTGGATGTTTAAATCTAAAGAAAATTTTACTAGAATAAAATTGCTTTTTCTTCTTTCAAATGTTTAATACTTGTAAAGGTATTCATTTGACATTGTGGGTTACCTACAATGCGAATAGATGGCGCTATCTTGCAGCTTAAGAAAGGCTACAGAAAATTCGGCACGACCCTCAGGGCCGCGGTAGCATAACGGTCAGTACATTCGCCCGGATAGCGAAGGGTGCGGGTTCGAGTCCCGTCTGCTGCCTGGTCCGCGTGGAACTTTAACTGCTAAGTTAGGGAAACCGTTTAGGGAAAAAATGGGTTGCACCTTTGACAATAGTCAAAATCAGGTCAAAATTTGACAGCGACAAGAAGTGGGAGATGGTGTTACTGCGACCGACCTATAGGCACTCTGTTAATCTTTAACCTATCTTCAATGCGGGTCACTATTAAGGAACGAGTCTCTAGTAATGTATTGAGACGTTGCTATTGAATATTGGACCTTTTCCCGTGTAGATTTGACGCAAACTCGCTGGTCGACAACCGCGGTGCCGTTAGCATCACGGCATACAGCAAGTGGGAGGTGATGTTACTGCGACCGACTTATAGGCACTCTGTTTATCCATCCATCAAAAGACCAGGGAGCAGATGGGACTCGAACCCGCACCCTTCGCTATCCGGGCGAATGCACTGACCATTATGCTACCGCGGCCCTGATGTGATGGCCGTGTCGTATTCTTTCTAGCCTTTCTTAAGCTGCAAGGTCATGCCTGCATTCCATCTCTCGCATTGAAGGTAACCCACAATGTCACTCTGTTTATGTTTAACCTACCTTCAATGCGGGTCACTAGTAGGGGCGGGTCTCTATTAATGTGTTAAGGCGTTGTCATTATATATTGGACCTTATCCCGTGCAGATGCGACCCAAATTCGCTGGTCGACAACCGCGGTGCCGTCAGCATCACGGCGTACAGCAAGTGGGAGGTGGTTTCTAGGGCATTACGAGTCTGTGAACGACCCGTGGTGCTCAATAGGGCTTCTTCTACTAACACCACCAATCCCTTCGGATCTACCTTCTGCTACGGTTACCAGGATATGATCTTTGAGGTGAGTTAGTCATATTTGGCCTATAGAATATTTACTTGTAATGCAATATTATGATTTAGATTTCATTGTTGTTGGTAAAAGAAGATTTAAAATGTAATCTTACAAAATAACAAAAAAGTATGCCACATCACCAGCCTATTAATGTACCCACTGCAGGGGCACAGGCCTTCCTTATAGATGGAATAAGGAGATTGGACCATGACCCTCTTGGGCGCGGGCTCTATGCGTTTTGGTAGGTGCTAACGACTGCAGATGCAGCCAGGACCAACGGCTTAACGTGCCTTCCGCAGCACGGAGGAACTCGAGATAGTAAATTTTTGGTCACCCATCCAATGACCGACCACCAAGGGCGGATCCCCCCTGGGCTGGGTACAGATGGACCAAATGCAGGGGGATTTTATTTAAGTACTTTCAATATTTATATTTATCGTGGTACGGCTATATGCCCCCCTCCCCCCCCCTGGCGCCAAAGCTGGATCCGCCTTTGCCGACCACTACGAAAGTTGCTTAACTTCAACGATCGCAGGCGAACGCACTATACATTTGCGCCATCGAGCTCCTCATGGGAGTCCGTTTCTACACAAAGAAGTAGTGACTTGGGGTATGAGCTATTCATAAATCTTGCCCCACCTTTGAAGCGATTTGCCCGAGGAGCTTATTGTGGATAAATCCCGACGCCATTGACGTCAGTTCGAAAAACTATGTACTTAATTGGAATTTTATTTGTAACACGATATTGTAAAGAAAGTTTAGTTCTTGTTTGATTGAAGTATATTCCACATCGTAAAGGACGTTGAGTGCTCGAATCCAATGGCGGACTAGTATATTTTTTTCATTCGTATGATATTATGTGCGTTAAATAAAACTATTAAAATACTGTCTGCGTTCCACTTTTTCTTTTTAGAATATTAAATAAAAGCTTTATATTTTTATTTTCAAAATTAAAGTACCTGATTTATAAATCTATAGAAAATTAATATTCCTATGTTATAAGCATTAAATTACTAGATTTAAAATGTGAAGAAATTCCCATAGGGGTCATCCATAAATTACGTCACACGAATTTCATGTCTTTTTTGCCCCTCCCCCCGTCCTTGTCACAGCTGGTCACATTTGTAAGACTCCCCCCCTCCCTAGTGTGACGTCACATATTTTGCAAATTTACATTTAGAAATCATTGAATGAAAACAGCGGTTCTGTAATCAGTTTTATTTCCATTTAAATTGGTTTTTCATTATTATTATAATTAAATCAAACAATTAACAAAACAAAAAAATTACCGAACAAAAAGTGATTGACTATGTTAATTAAAGAAATTAACAAAACATAAAATATTAATAGCATTATAATTAAATTAAAGATACAAACTTAATAATCTTGAGTCCATGGACATTGATCCCACTCCTTTAAATTATTTATAACTGGCATAGCACCACTTTGTTCTCGTTTGGGTTGTTAATGCTTTCGTAAAGTAATAGTTTCAACACTTAGATTTTAATATATTTTGAAATGTGACGTCACGAAATTTAGGACCCCTCCCACCCCTTGTCACACGATGTCACATTTGGTCGACCCCCTCCCTACCCCTTAAAGTGTGACGTAATTTATGGATGGCCCCATACCTAAACCCCCCCCCCCCCCCTCGCCGTAGCATTAGCACCGCGATATGGTATATAACGCGTTTAACTGTCGTTAAACGTGATAAAAAACGTGATATAATGTAAATTGTGTCCCTGTAGCATGAGTACCTCAATTTACATTATATCGCGTCTAACTGTCAAACTATATAAATTTGACAATTGAGTGTGGTAAAAACGCATTATATATCATATCGCGGTGCTCATGCTAGGGACGTGGTGCTCATGCTAGGGGGCGTGGTGCTAATGCTACAGGGACTGGACCAAATGCATTTTTTTTAGTTGATTTCTAAAATCAATATGATTTACTGTTTCGGTTATAGGTGATGTCGAACAACTTCATAGCATCGATAACTCTGTACCAGCCGGAGGGCACGAGGCCGCACTACGCCGTCAACTCGATCGCGTGACACGCCCAGGTCAGTCGCGCACTTTTTCTATAGTCGCAGCATGTTATGATGGCCAGGTTAGGATACACATGCTCACAATAATTATGTCTGTCGAGCTCATCCGTGTTTCGGAACGTACTTTCGAGTCTGTCCCGGGATGCCCCTAAACACTATACACGTTTAGGGAACGATTTAGATTCAATTTTGTTTGTGTCTTCTAATGTCTCCATGGTTTAGAATCACAACGGGACCTGGTACGTGGCGGTGCAATCGGGTTCCATTATCAGTTTTTTTATCTATATTATAAATGGAAGATAGTATCGAGGATATAGATGTTTTTGTATTTTTATCGTATATTATAAATGAAAGTACCTACCTATCATATCAAATTTTAAAAGTTTTTGTACGAAGTATCATAATTCTCGCCAACAGGTATCACCGAGCAAAGGCAAGTACGCATCATGAACATTTCAGTTCTCAAATCTCAACGCAAAACCTCCACTCGCGTGGCAGCCACAGCTAAAATACCGCGACCACAGTTAACATACTACATATCCCTTAATAAGAGCACCTAAGAGGAAACAGTATTTACAAAAAAAATGTGATAAAAAAACTGTGAAAAAAAAGTGAGTGACAGATCTCAGACGGTGTGTAAGCTTAATGTTATTATTACCTTAGCCTCAATGAACAGAAATAGTAAAAAAAAAATTGACCACGTTATTTTACGATGTGTGATGTGGTGACAAAGGACAGTTTTTTTTAAATATACCTGTATAATTATTATATTATTGAAATAATTTAGTCAAATTAAATTTCGTTTTTATTGTAATAGGAAATGCGGGCGGATTAATTGTTTTTTTTACATGTTTTTTTTACGTTTGGCCCTTTATATGTATTTACTCGTCTAGCAGAATTATTAATATTCTAAATGCCGATCAATTGGCGGGTGAATTGTTTTTACTTTTCTTTATTTAAAAATTTGTATGTTGTTTTGTATGTGTTTTTAACTTTGTACTATGAAAATTTTGGAAAGGTAGGCGTTATTTCACGTGGAATAGATATTAGACTGCTGTAAATATTTTTGACATGTCGATGGATGAAAACTAATAATTATTAATAATATTTGAAAAAAAAATCTGAAATCAAAGTATTTTTTCTAAAAATTGATGACGATTGCTAGGCTGTATGATGCATGAATATAAAATGTAAAAAAATAAAATAAAAAATATTTTTGTTTTAAGCTAAAAGTGTGTTTTACCAGTAAAATTAATGATAATGATAAATCAAAATACTAGAGTTTATGAAAGACACTTTTTTATAATATTTTTTATTAATTTTGTCTGTTATTATTATATTGATTTGAAAAAAGGAATTATCAAGAAAAAATGTACCTTTACTGTTTTTAATATAAACGTGTGTTATTTATTCGATTATGGACATATATTTTTTTTATTAATCAGTCAATTCAATTCCTAATTAAAAATGTATTTTTTAGAATGCCTCACAATATAATTGTTAGTTATGTATCGTATGTCTGTTCATAATTAGATTATGAACAAAATGGTTTATTTTAAACATTACCCTCAATCCAAAAAATATTATCGATGAATATCTTGGTAAAAGCTCTATTACTCGAGATCTCTGAATGCTCTCCTCATTAGAAATTTAAGTGCCTCTTAAAAATTTATCCATAAAACATTTTAAACGACCCAACGTAAAATATTGAAAATCAGGACCCATTTATAAGGGCTCAGGCTAAAAAATAATTGGCGTTAAAGTCGAAAATTGTCTATCCGAAATTACAATATTTTATGTGATTTCCGCTCATTACCGAGTATCGAACTCAAGGAATTATCGCCTCTTAGTGTTTGTTTAACATTTGGAAATGTTATTTTATTGTATTCAACCAACAATGTTAATTTAAATCGTGTTGTTCTTTGATTTTGAGATCTCAGTTTTATCCTTTACAAAGATTAAGTCTAGATTCCAAAATAAATCAACCACACTTTGACAAGTGGAAAAGTCGCTGCATTCCTTTCAAAATACAGTGACATTTGACATGTGTCATGTTTTTTTTTTTTGATTTACAAGATAATCAGCCAATAGACATGCGATATATTTAGTTTTTAGGATATCTTCGTCGTTGTATTCAACTTGCTCTTCGATTTATTTTGTAGTAATGCTTTCTCGAAACCTCACGAATCGAAGAGTTAAGTCCGAAATGTAGCAGGGAAATTTGTATAATAGCTAATGTATTATAATAAAATAAATCATAACATAATTATATTTAAAAGCACAATTGTTTTGTTACTTCAGATGTGTATGTGATGCAATATTTCCTTCTGTTTGAGGATTTGACGCAATTCTTTCTATGTTTGAGTTTAAGCTATGAAATAAGTGTGATTGTGTGAGGGCTAGATCCAGTCATTGTGTGATGGGCAGGGCCGTAGATACGGAGGGAAGGGGACATTTTGGGGCAATCACCTTCAAATACCATTGCCCTTCCTTGAAGTCGGGTGGCAGGCTGCGAAAAGAATGCATGCCCCGGCTTATGTCCTAAGTGTAATTATCGCTGCCCCATCTTAAATACCACTCTGCCTACGGTCCTGGTAATGGGTGGATTGGTTTTTGATCTAAAACCTAAGCGAGACACATTTCAAACTGCAATAAGGGGAAACTGCTAATACTAAACTTTAAAAAAACTTTCGTTTAATGACTTATTTGACTGTCATATTAAATTTTGAAATTCAAAACGGCGCACCATTGGAGCGTTATACACTATAGGTCTCGGCAAATTTCATAACCAAACCACAGACAAATAAACTTGCGCAGTAGGCGTTTTTGTATGTAAAATTGCTACAGCGCTGGCTACCTTGTATGGTCGTTGCTCAGGAAGTTTGCCGGGATGTATACACACAGAATAAATACGCGATTTTTGAAGTGCAATGACAAATTACGTACTTAATGCCGAATTTACTATGCTACGGGAAAAGGCAAAACATTTGAACAAGTTAGTGGAACACTATTTATAAAAGAATAAACTCTATTGCAAGCCTGGTGTATGGAATTTTGAATGTTACAAAATAGCAGCATTTTACCTGAAATAAAATGCATATTAAAATACTTACCTCACTGAAAGCTTTATATTGAGATAGCACTTCCGTTTCCCGTCGAATTACCATCAGTTTCCGTACTTTTATTCACCTTATATCCGGTCCAGTGGCGACACCTGGCAGAAGCGCGGCCATTTTTGTTTTCCTAAGTTTTGACAGCGCCATATTAACTCATTGGCTCAATTATTTCACCAGGCAGAATTTAAAGTGAAAGCTTTCAGTGAGGTAAGTATTTTAATATGCATTTTATTTCAGGTAAAATGCTGCTATTAAACTACTTGACCGTCACTGAAAGCTTTATATTGAGACCTGTTTGTTATCGCCTGGTGATCGCCACGTACATAGATATATACGCCAATGTGACAATTTATGATAAATTTAAATATTAACATTTATCAGATTATATGAAACTGTATAAAGAAACGAGTATGCTTAAAAATGAATCAAATAATATTATTTGAATCACGCCTTTAATTTCTTCAAGCTTACGAAGCTGCTTTAACATATGTATTAGCTGATCGCTATATTCCTTTGCTTAAAACTCGCGAAGTATATATATATATATATATATATATATACTTCTACATATATTTGTTTTGTTAATGACCGGACGCTTCCTTGTGTAGCATTCATTTGTATCTTTGTATATCACAAATAAGGCGTACGAACGAGAGAAAAAGATGTAAAGTTGTTCGATACTGAGTCTTACATTTTACAAGACTGTACTTTTTACTTAAGTACCAAAAATCAGGGTCCCACTTACGATTACCATTATTCGGTACAAGTCACCAATCGGATTGTCTTTAACTACTTTCACCTGTTTTGAACCAAAACAAGGCTAAACTAATCTTCGTCGGTACAAATACAATGATTCGGGATAATTTGAAGTAAGAACCAGTCATGTGTACCACATGCTTAACCAAATAATACGCAGCATAATTACTGTATGACGTTCAGAACAACATATATGACGAAGTATTTGAAACAGATCATTATGATGTAACGAATACATTATTGAAGAAAAGGAAATAAGTTAACTTATAGACACAGAATAGTAGGTTACGGACTGATTCTTTAAATACAATCGACTTCAATATATGTGTTTGCCAAGACAGGTGAGCTTAGGTAATTAGACTTATCATCCATTGGTATATCATGTAAAAACTACTGACTTATTTAAAATAATGGTACTTATTTTAAGATAAGTCACGAGTTAAAAATAAGTCTCTCAAAAATCGTGTTAGTTCAGAGCAGAGTCCACAACTTGCGGGATTATTCCGATAAACATTCTTGTTCCTAGACCAATGCAACCACGCAAGCCAGCGTTTCCGAGCCATCTCATAGCTGTTTAAGACAGAGCTGTCGCTCTTTGTAGAATATGTTGAAAAGCGTAGTGCTAGCATATCGTGCCGTGTTCTTCAACTATACTTCCCAAGCTTTCATATTAGATTGGCGGGAAGTGATTGCAAGGTCGATTCCAGTGAATTCATAATTATTGTTAGAAGTAGGGAGTGGTTGATACAACCCCACGGAATGACAAAAATGTTGAAACCGATCAACTTCTGAAGTTTACGTTTTTACAACGAAATTCTCTGGTATAGTTTTTATATTGTTGCTGGGTTGCCGTGATAAATTATGCTATTACGAAGTTCAGACCAGATTTTATAAAATTCATTTGCCATCCTGGAATCTACAATTGATTGTAATTTTTCTTTTGTTTTTCAGTTCTTAGATCTGAGTCATTTATATGTATTACTTAATACTAAATAAAGATTTAGTTATTTATAAGATTTACACAGCTTACATACGGTGTGCATGTACTATGCGTAGGGTTTGAAGTATATTTATTCCAGACAGTCGTGGCAAGGTTAGAAAGCGTAAGTTTAATATTAAGAACAGTTTTCAGTAATTTTTACTAAAATAACATAAAGGGGATAATTGCATACAATGATCTTCAAAACCTTTCAAGAATTTAGTAGATCGTGCAATCTTTCTTCAGTAACTAGCACCACTTATATATCAAAATGATCAAGTTCACCACATACACGACATTTCTAATATTGCAAGTTTCTCTCATTACGCGATCAAAAGAGTGAGCAACCCATTTGGTTTACTTTTGTTATTTTCAAGAGAAAATATGTTATCTTCTATTTATCTGGCAGATAGTCTTTAAATTGCAGAAAACTTAGAATTCTTTACATATTTATAGTGTACTGCACTTGAGATTGGAGTTTGATATATATTGGATTTAGATAAACAAGCTTTTGAATGGCATGCGATACCATTAAATTTATTTAAGAATTATTTATGGAGCTCCCAATTTATCAACTTACCTGCACTAAATTTTTTCAAACATTAATTGTTTCGATATTCCTTTTTCTTTTGAAATGTATTATATATTACGGTAGAACAACCGTAGTGATCGAGTCAACACTTCACACCAATTAGCCTAGCCTTATAATGGGCATTGAAAGGCTTGTGTTATGGGCTAACGCCTAGAAATGCATAATGATGATGCATAGATTAGAATTTATTAGATTAGATTTTAAATTCATATTTGTTAACAACCAAAACTTAGGCACAGATGCTCGTTTTTATCATACAATGATTTGCCCCACCGGGGTGAACCCAAGACCTCGTAGTATGCGACACCTTAAAAACCACGTACATTGCACTTCCCAACGGGGTACGTCAACATTCGATGTTCGATCTTTAAAGTCTATTAAGAGGG